TGAGTGTGTGTGAGAGTGAGTCGGTACACTACTGGGTGAGTGAGATGGTGAGTGAGTGTGTGTGAGAGTGAGATGGTGAGTGAGTGTGTGTGAGAGTGAGTTGGTACACTACTGGGTGAGTGAGATGGTGAGTGAGTGTGTGTGAGAGTGAGATGGTGAGTGAGTGTGTGTGAGAGTGAGATTGGTACACTACTGGGCGAGTCAGATGGTGAGCGACTGGGTCAGCAAGATGGCGAGCGGATGAGATGGTGCGAGCCACTTCGCACACAATCTGCACGCAAATTTAACACTTGCACCTGCAGACTTTGTTGGGTGCATTTTACAAGCGCTCTTAACGCTTCCCACACACCCCTGGGTTGGGAGCACAAGTACATTCGCTATCTCTGGTCCGTTGTTTCTGCACGTCCCGTCCGTCTCGTAAAACGAGGGGGCCCCACAACGGACCTCTAAAGATTATATTCTTACGTATAAAAATGGCACTCGGTCCAGGAGATTAATGCGAATGTCGAGGTCTGCTGCTGCTAGCCACGACGAGAGGGCTTCGGCAGGGAGAGATAATCCGTGTCGCTGTTCCTCCGCCTCCTCCTCCGTTGATGGAGCTCAAGGCTGCAGTGGGTTTACGATATGGTCCATGATTCGGTTTGCATTTCCACAATTGAACGATTCTGCTCCGTTGAAGGAGCGCAGACCACGGTGAGTTTACCGTGTGGGTCCAGAGTTCGCGTTGCATGGACCACAGTCGCACTACTGTGGCTTGTCTTTAAATGGATATCTCTATGAGTCTCTGTGCATCTCTATGGGTCTCTGTGTCATGTTTACTACGCGGGTCCATACGTTGGGTTGCATGTCCACGAACGCACAACTGCAGTGGCCTTTTTTCGTTAAATGTTTCATTCGTGAAGGGGAGGTGGTGCTGCATCGGGTCGCTGTTGATGTTCTGATGCGTGTTGCGGCTGTCAGACGGCTGTCTGCGAGGATGTAGAGGGAGGGATGATGGAGGGAGGGATTATGGAGGGGAGGGAGGGCTGATGGAGGGATGGGAGGGGAGGGAGGGATGATGGAGGGCGGGATTATGGAGGGGAGGGAGGGCTGATGGAGGGATGGGAGGGGAGGGAGGGATGATGGAGGGAGGGGAGGGGAGGGAGGGATGATGGAGGGAGGGGAGGGGAGGGAGGGATGATGGAGGGAGGGATTATGGAGGGGAGGGCTGATGGAGGGATGGGAGGGGAGGGAGGGATGATGGAGGGAGGGGAGGGGAGGGAGGGATGATGGAGGGAGGGGAGGGAGGGATGAGAGGGAGCGATGAATGGGAGGGATGGGAGGGAGTGATCGGGGATGAGGAGTGTCAGAGCCAGGAGGTGTGCGATCTAAAGAAGGCATCCAATTCAAAATGAAACTTCACTGTGACGTCGTTCTCCTGTTTCTGGATCTCAACCGAGAGAGAAAACCGACCACGTGCACCAGATCCGACACCGTACCCGTCCAGTGCTCGCTCAGCTGCATTGGCTTCCGTTTGCCGAACGGCTGCGTTGTAAGGTCGCACACACACGCACGCACACACGCACGCACACACGCACGCACACACACAAGTGCTTGCTACAAATGAACCACAATTACCTTGCCGATCTCGTCAATGAGCATAAAACACTCCGGTCATCCTCGCAGCAGCGGCTTTTAGCTCGGCCGTCGAACAAAGGCGGTCACCGCATGCATCGCGCGCTTACAGATGCGCTTCTGCGGCCGTCTGGAACGCTCTTCCTTCCGATATGAGCAAGCCACTGCGAGCGATGGACTTTCAAATAATCTTGATCGGCGGTTCTTAACATTTACTGTTGCCTTGCCTCCCCCCCCCCCCCTGGTTCTTAATCGTAAACAAAAAAGTATAATATTAATAAATCCATAGGTTTGATGAAACAAAGTAGTTCTACTTACGTGCCCGTAATTAATTTGCGTGTTTCGATGATTGACCTAAAAAAAAAAAGTCATCTGGCCGTGTCTCGCACCCCCCAGAGAGGGGATCTCGCACCCCCCAGGGCGTGCGGGCACCCAAGGCCAAGGAGCCACTGATCTTGAAAACTCATTTGTTTTTTTCAGAATGATTTCTGTTATGTTTAGTTCATTGTCCTCTCCCCGCCGCACCTCCGAATAGCACGGGTGTCTGCGTGCGGTGCTAACGAAGCTCAACACACGTGTACACACACAACAAACAAAGGACAAAGATCCCCGGTATAGCCTTAACAGACTGTTGGGGCAAGTGCTGTTAGCGAGCACCTATGAAGGTCGGCACGGCACACGAGGGGGTGGGTGGCCCAACACCACTCCCGGCCGCCTTTGTCTTCCCAGTGACGATGTTTACACGCCGCACCAGATACTGATATGAGGCCGAGTCGACATCGGGGAAGCCCAGAACCGGTTCAGATAATCGTCACTGGTGTTGGCCGTAAACGGGAATCGAACCCGGGTCGCCAAGTTTGTAGCGCAGCCCGATAACCACTACACTACCGCTCCCCACACATAAAGATAAAGATCCCCCGTATAGCCTCAACACTGTAGGGGCAAGTGCTGTTAGCGAGCACCTATGAAGGCCGGAACGGTACACGAGGGGGTGGGTGGCCAGCACCACGCCCGACCGCCTTTGTCTCCCTAGTGGCAATATTTACACACCGCACCAGGTACTCATTTGAGGCTGAGTCGACCTAGGGGAGGCCCACGACCGGTTCAGATAATCGTCACTGGTGTTGGCCGTGAGCGGGAATCGAACCCGGGTCGCCAGGTTCATAGCGCAGCCCGATAACCACTACACTACCGCTCCCCACACATACACACACAAGACTTCGTTCCCAGTAGATCCACAGATCCACCATCGAAAGCGCCGACGTCTCATCATCTCCCCAAACAGCGTGCGTGGCGAGGGTTCATCACCAGTGGTGGAAATTCCACGTTCCTATGCCAGGGCGCAGTCCGTTCGAAGAGCAGCCACTTGCCGTACCGATGACAACCGAGTATACAGAGGGGTGCTTAAACAACAACAACAAAAACCGTTGACGCTTCCTTAGAATTTGCGACAACACAGCCAGCAATGTTGTGTCTCTTCTTTGGTTCTTTCGGTAAAGTCACTCATTCTACGTGACTTTACCGAAAGAACCAAAGAAGATGAATCATTGCAGTCACGAAAGCTTTAAATCGAAATTTAATGTTGTGTCTCCTCCTCTGGGTGCTGGAGTACACCTGGAGGAGATTCCAGGCACGCGTTGACAACGATGGCGAGAACAAGTGGGACACTCCATACTCTGTGGTTCTTTCGGTAAAGTCACTTAGGTAGAAAAATCATCTATTAGTGATCTATTATTATTAAAAAAAATTTCTACCTACGTGACTTTACCGAAAGAATCAAAGAGTATGGATTCCTTCAAATCAAGATTGAAGTGGAGACTCATTTTTGAAGCTATTAACAAACATTTGTTATCACGTTACAGTGTCATATTGTCCGTTCTTTTTCCATTAAACAAAAACGATGGTCCCATATAAGTGTTACCGGTTTATTTTTGTTGCAGTTGAAGCACCCCTGTTTAATTAACGCGCTGCTGACAGTGGCTAGCAACAAAAGCACGGGTGGGATTTTGATTTTCCCTACCATGCAATCGAATTGCGTTCCACTAATTGGGGGAAATTAATGTTTAGTCGTATTCTGTTCGTCAAGTGATACATCATTGAAGATGTTGTTCATCGCAACAACGGCAACAGCAACAAACCCAGCGCGTTGCGCGAGTAACGCCGTGCGGTGCGTGGTCTTAATTAGGAAACAATGTACGATTGGCGACGTTTCGCGCAATGCCCCTTCTTTCCGAGCACATCGATTGCCGATCGCATTGCCCATCGCGCAAACAGCAACCTTCGTCGGCTTTACCTCGACAATACCATCACCGTCGTCACCATCGCTGTCATCGACATCCGTTTTAGAATCATCACCACCAGCACCACCATCATCATCGCTACATTAACGAGCACCTGTTGCCTTTTGCAACATTATCGTCATTACGCTTCGTCATAACATTTAGAGACAAATATATTACCATCACCGCCAGCACCACCACTAGCATCCATCGCCACACTCACCATCATCATCTTTAAGACGTGTATCCGATCGTCAGTCGTAAAGGAAGGATTCCGGAATAGGAAAGACATCGTCGCGTCTATAACGCATGGTCATCATCATCATTACGCATAACGATGTAAGATCCATTACTGTCACAACTGTAACCAACAACCCATCATAAATCAGCATTCCTAACGAGGTGAAAGTCCATTAACTATTGCAACTATACCTGTGATAGTAGAATTAGGGGAGAGCTCATCATCATAACTAACGAGGTGAGTCCGATACTTTCACAGCTATAACCGAGTGCCCAAAATCATCATCTTCATCGGTATTTATAACGACGTGAAAGTCCATTACGACCACGTCTATAACGAAGAGCCTATGATCACCGTTGTCTAACGAGGTAAGACCTTATTTTTCAAATCTGTAACTGCAACATCACCATCCTAAACATCTATAACGAGGTGAGAGTCAGTCTTCATAATAAGGTTTGTCACGTAAACAACGCGCCATTGAGTTACTACTTCAGCCCGCCAGTGTGTTGGAGAGTAAATCCACAACATTTACAGTTCAAGTACGACGTTTCGCTGGTAATTACATCCAGCATCATCGGGCGATTTGCCAAAATAGTCAGTCTGTGTGACTACCCACCGTCAAATTTGTTACTGCAACATTAATATCATCATAATCATCTGTAACTGCAACATCGTAAGCATCGTCTACAACGTGGTGAGAGTCAGTCTGTCTATCCACCATCAGATCTATAACTGCAACATCAATCGTCATCTGTAACTCCTCCTTCATAGCGATGCCATTGCATGTGTAGCGGGGTTAGAACCAACCATCATCATCATCATCACGAGATGGAAAGACTGCCACCACATCATTATACAGTACTCACCTTAGCACGACACCTAGATAATGGATGGATGGATGAATAGGTTGATGGCAGCTAATGCTGTTGTCGCATTATCACTGTGGTGGTGGTGTTGCGTGATCTGAAACGCGCGGGTGTGTGAATGCGAGTGCGATAGTGAGCATATTAAAAAGAGCCTGCGCGTGAGAGAGAGAGATGGTGAGCGAATGACTGAGCGGGCGAAGGAGTGTGTGAGTGAGATGGTGAGATAATGAGCTGCTGTGTGAGCGAGATGGCGAGCGGTCAAGCTCCTTGGTGAGTGAGATGGTAATCGAGTGAGCGAGTGGGTGAGTGAGATGGTGAGCGGTTAAACGTTGGGTGGGTGTTTATCAAGTGCGGCTGTGAGGTGGTGAGGCAGTTAATGACATGGTGAATGAGTTGGTGAATGGGTGAGATGGTCAGTGGGTGGCAACACGGATGCTCGCGACAGTGCATGCGGCGGCGTGCTATTGTGGGTGAGTGAATTAGTGAGTGGATGGGTGAATATGGGTACGAGTGGATGGGTGAAAATGTGAAGAGGCGAGTGCGTGAGTCAGTGGGTGAGAGGGCAAGTGAGATAGTGCGTGAAATATCCAATTCGTGAGACGTGTGTGTGTGTGTATATCAATGTGTGGATGGGTGAATGAATATACCAGTGAGTACGACTGGGCAGTGCGCGATGGGGTACGCGCGTCTGTTCGTGTAAGAGTCGATGGGTGGTAGAGCGGGTGAGAGAGCGAGTGGATGCGTGCATTGATTGATACGAGTCGATTAATGTTTGTGTGAGTCACTGGGGGAATAGATGAGATGAATGAAAAAGCGAATGGGTGGGTGAATGGATGAGTGTGCAACTGGGTGCCTAGGAGAGTGGATGAGCGAGTCGGTGCGCGAGTAGGTGTGTAGGTGAATGGTTGGGTGAAAGAGTGGGGTTAAATATTAGTAGTAGGAGTGAGTGACTCGATGCGTTTATAAGAATGTGCGTGAATGCGTGCATGGATAAATGAGTGGCTGAGTGAATGATTGGGCGAGTGGGTGGCCGAGTGGGTGGCCGAGTGAATTAATAAATGCCTTCGTGGGTTGGGTTGAGCGGGTGGCTGGCTGGGTGAGCAAGCCACCGAGCTACTTGATGCGTGTGTGCGTTTGGCTGGGCGGATGCGTAATTGGGCGAGTGGGTGGATGAGTACGTGGGTGGCTGGGTGAGTGATTGGGTTGGGCGCGTGGCTGGGTGCGTGAGTGGGTTGGACGCGTGGCTGGGTGCGTGAGTCGGTGCCTGGCTGGGTGGGTGAGTGAATGGGTTGGGTGGGTGAGTGAGTGAGTGGGTTGGGTGGGTGAGTGGGTTGGGTGGGTGGGTGGGTGAGTGGGTTGGGTGGGTGGGTGGGTGAGTGAGTGGGTTGGGTGGGTGGGTGGGTGAGTGAGTGGGTTGGGTGGGTGGGTGGGTGAGTGAGTGGGTGGGTAGGTGGGTGGGTGGTGAGTGGGTTGGGTGGGTGAGTGAGTGGGTTGGGTGGGTGGGTGGGTTGGGTGGGTGGGTGAGTGAGTGGGTTGGGTGGGTGGGTGGGTGAGTGGGTTGGGTTGGGTGGGTGAGTGAGTGGGTGGGTGGGTGGGTGAGTGAGTGGTTGGGTGGGTGGGTGAGTGAGTGGGTTGGGTGGGTGGGTGGGTGAGTGAGTGAGTGGGTTGAGTGAGTGGGTTGAGTGGGTGGGGTGGGTGGGTGAGTGAGTGGGTTGGGTGGGTGAGTGAGTGAGTGGGTTGGGTGGGTGGGTGAGTGGGTTGGGTGGGTGAGTGAGTGGGGTGGGTGAGTGAGTGGGTTGGGTGGGTGGGTGGGTGAGTGGGTTGGGTGGGTGGGTGGGTGAGTGGGTTGGGTGGGTGGGTGAGTGGATTGTGTGGGTGGGTGAGTCGGTTGTGTGGGTGGGTGAGTGGGTTGGGTGGGTGAGGTGGGTTGGGTGGGTGGGTGGGTTGAGTGGGTGGGTTGGGTGGGTGGGTTGGGTGGGTTGGGTGGGTGGGTTGGGTGGGTGGGTTGGGTGGGTGAGTGGGTTGGGTGAGTGGGTGAGTGGGTGGGTTGGGTGGGTGAGTGAGTGAGTGGGTTGGGTGAGTGAGTGGGTTGGGTGGGTGAGTGAGTGGGTTGGGTGGGTGGGTGGGTTGGGTGGGTGGGTTTGGTGAGTGAGTGGGTTTGGTGAGTGAGTGGGTTGGGTGAGTGAGTGGGTTGGGTGAGTGAGTGGGTTGGGTGGGTGAGTGAGTTGAGTGAGTGAGTGTGGTGAGTGAGTGGGTGAGTGGGTTGAGTGAGTGGGTGAGTGGGTTGAGTGAGTGGTTTGGGTGGGTGGGTGGGTGAGTGAGTGGATTGGGTGGGTGGTTTAGTGGGTGGGTGAGTGAGTGGGGTGGGTGAGTGAGTGGGGTGGGTGGGTGGGGTGGGTTGGTGAGTGATTGGGGTGGGTGGGTGAGTGAATGGGGTGGGTGGGTGGGGTGGGTGAGTGAGTGGGGTGGGTGGGTGGGGTGGGTGGGTGAGTGGGGTGGGTGGGTGAGTGAGTTGGGTGGGTGAGTGAGTGAGTGGGGTGGGGTGGGTGGGTGAGTGAGTAAGTAAGTGGGGTGGGTGAGTGGGTGAGTGGATGGGTGGGTGGGTGAGTGGGTGAGTGGGTGGGTGGGTGAGTGGGTGGGTGGATGAGTGGGTGGGTGGATGAGTGGGTGGGTGGATGAGTGGGTGGGTGGATGAGTGGGTGGGTGGATGAGTGGGTGGGTTGCTAAGTGGGTGGGTGGATGAGTGGGTGGGTGGATGAGTGAGTGAGTGAGTGGGTGGGTGGATGAGTGAGTGAGTGCTGCACCTCTGCTGAAATCGCCTTCTTTTGTCACTCATCCCGAGTCGCGACGGATTCGCCTCTGCCTCTCTCATTGGCCGGGAGCTCCGTCTGCCGACCCCAGCGACGCAACGTTGCGCAGATGTAATTAATTAATTAATGATGAATAAATAAATGACATCTACCACATCGCAAATGATTATCCAAATTATCAGCAGCAGCAGCAGTCGAAACAACAGTCGTTTTATTGCCGCGTGCAGAAATTCTCCCTGCAGTTAGATCTGCAGCAGTCAATGTATACTGCACATCAGCTGGCGTTCGCGATCCGTTCTCTCATTAAGCTGGGCAGGTGATGTTGTTGTTGACGGTGGTGCCGATGGGCACGATGCCGCTGGCGATGTTGAATGACATCACGCGCCCTGATCCCCGCGTCCTTCCTTTGGTGTTACATGTATTCCTTCACTCCGTCTTTGACTTTCGTGCCGACAAAGTGGCTCGTTCATTCGTTCGTCAATGTCGTTCGTTTGCTCATTCCCTCGGGAGGTTGCACGCGCACGGCGCCGAGTCTGTGAAGACGGGAACACGCCTCTTAAATAAACGCCTATCATCATTATGATCACCAACATCATCTCATTATCATAATCTAATCAACATCATCGCCAGCATTATCTCATTATCGTAAATTGAATCGACATCAGCATTATCTCATAATCATCAAATCGACATCATGAGCTTCCGCATTAACATCATCGGTATAATCTCATAAATATCATTATTATTATTATTATTTCATTAACATCACACTAATATTATCAGCATACTAATCAACGTCAGCAGAAGCATTCCCAAGAATCATTCACTTGTTGCGCCCACGGCCATTCCATTTTTCACACGCAAGTTAAATACAATTGTATGATTAACGTTTCATTGCACTGGTAATATTATAACATTATAAAGGGTGCATTAAATGTGTGTGTGTGTGTGTGCGTGACAACAGAGTCGATCGATCGCATTCGTTGTGCACCCTTGTCAATCCACTGCTGGATGATAAAGCCCCCCCCCCCCTCTAACCCTCCCCGCCATCAGTGCGGCTCGAGCCGAGAACCTATTCCGATCTCGGCGTCCCACCGATGATTGCGGTACCAGGAATCGAGGGTTCGTAGCGCAGTGGTATTCCTCCCCCCCCCCCCCCCCATCAATGTTATTTTTTATTGTTGTTTTATTGTTGTTTTAATTGTTGTTTTAATTAACACCGTTTAACCCTTTCAACGGCCATATTCGTCGACGCTTTGTGAACTATTTTGCTTAATTTCAATCACCTACTTGACGCGCTTCGTGCGGCAATTCCCAGAATCACCGAGCCATTCGAAATTCAATGCCCTAATGACCTACCCCCCCCCCCCCCCCCCCCCGTTAAAAGTGTGTTAATGCATTAAAATTAACCGCAATGTATTGATTAACCTTAATTCTGAGTAGTCGCAGTCGAGTCGTATTTAGCCAACACGATTCCATACGAGGTAGTCCAGGTGGAAATGCAATAATTTCCCCTTGATTGATGATTAACATGGGGCGATATTGAGCAATGTGGCGACTCGGTGTGCTGTACCGCCACAATTCTTCTGTAATAAGTAATAATTATTACATTCACAATACTCACGTGGTAATCCGCGACGTTGTTAAGATGAACTTCACGTTTGATAAATATCCCACCATCAAAACAAATATATTATTACAACATAAATACGAACTACTATTGAATTGGATATAGTTTGAAATTCACATCAGCCTGCAACGTTCAACCAATGCACTTTGGATATGCACTATGTGTCGTTGTGTGATCACTGAATATGATGCTAAGCAGCAAATTGCTCTTCTCACACGCGTGCACTCACGCACATATCACAACACTAACAATAATGTGTACTCTGGCTGTAGGGTGAACTGCAAAATTATCCTGTAATCGTCGGGTCCACTTGAGCTACTCCCGTGTGTACGTGCGTGTCTAACTGAATACTATTCGAAGCGCTCTCGAAACACACACACACACCCCACTAACTCAGGAGACGGGGCTGGCTTCGGCTTAGCTCGGCTTGTATGAGCCCAGCTGGCTGCTGCTGCTGCTATATCAGAGACGCAACAACCACCGGAGCGTGTGTCGATTCGCCTGCGAGCGAGGCGCCTTCTGCTGAGAGAGAGAGCGAGCGAGAGAGAGTTGGAGTCTGTACGGCTCGGCACACAGAGAGAGGGTGGGGGGGGAGAGTTGGCACGGCTCGGCACGGTTCGACGCAGCTCGACTTTCTCTCTCTCCACACACGCCTACCGCGCCCACTAGCGGAGGAGCGCGCTGCTGCTGTTGCTGCTTGCAGAGATGGAGGAACGGAAGGGATTCGTGGGTGATGGGGAGAGGGTGGATGAATGGGTGGGCGATGGGGAGCGGGTGGGAGAACGGATGAGTGGGTGCAGGACCGGATTAATATTGTTTAAGGCCCCTGGGCTACAGGGAACTTTGAGGCCCCCCCGTCATATTTTGAAAAGGAAAACAAAGTTAAAGAAAAATAAAATTTATTTTGAAAAGGCTAACAACAAATAAAATTCAGAATTCCCAAACGAAATAACTGTTTCACTTAATCTCTGGAGGCCCTCCAGCTAGCGGAGGCCCATGGGCTGCAGCCCCTAAAGCCCCCCGTGCCTTAATCCGGCCCTGAGTGGGCGGGAGATGGGCAAAGGGTGGGAGAGTGGATGGGTGGGAGATGTGGAGAGGGTGGGAGAGTGGATGGGTGGGAGATGTGGAGAGGGTGGGAGAGTGGATGGGTGGGAGATGGGGAGAGGGTGGGAGAGTGGATGGGTGGGAGAGTGGGTGGGTGGGAGATGGGGAGAGGGTGGGAGAGTGGATGGGTGGGAGATGGGGAGAGGGTGGGAGAGTGGATGGGTGGGAGATGGGGAGAGGGCGGGAGAGTGGATGGGTGGGAGATGGGGAGAGCGTGGGAGAGTGGATGGGTGGGAGATGTGGAGAGGGTGGGAGAGTGATGGGTGGGAGATGGGGAGAGGGTGGGAGATGTGGATGGGTGGGAGATGGGGAGAGGGTGGGAGAGTGGGTGGGTGGGAGATGGGGTGAGGGTGGGAGAGTGGGTGGGTGGGAGATGGGGAGAGGGTGGGAGAGTGGATGGGTGGGAGATGTGGAGAGGGTGGGAGAGTGGGTGGGTGGGAGATGGGGAGAGGGTGGGAGAGTGGATGGGTGGGAGATGTGGAGAGGGTGGGAGAGTGGGTGGTGGGAGATGGGGAGAGGGTGGGAGAGTGGATGGGTGGGAGATGGGGAGAGGGCGGGAGAGTGGATGGGTGGGAGGATGGGGAGAGGGCGGGAGAGTGGATGGGTGGGAGATGGGGAGAGGGTGGGAGATGTGGATGGGTGGGAGATGGGAGAGGGTGGGAGAGTGGGTGGGTGGGAGATGGGGAGAGGGTGGGAGAGTGGATGGGTGGGAGATGTGGAGAGGGTGG